CGCACAGTGGGAGATTCAGGTTCAAAATCGCGACAAAAGTCAAATCTTTCCATGATCACCTTAAAATTCGCAATTACGGAATTTTCTATGGAAATGTTATCAAAAACCGTCAAAAACCTGCCAATTTAGTGAAAAGTGCAAAATTGGTCCACCCTATCCACCCCACCCCACCCCGAAAACAATATTATAATTGCCAAGTTTTCGGTTCTGTTTCTATGAACGCCGTGCAGCCACAAGTAAAAGTATGCTCACGTGTTCAAACACAAACATATTACATGTTGTGGCAGTTTTTTGGCAGAGCCAGCCGGGCACTTCCCCCAAGAAAGGCGATTTTTAAATACTCAGTATCGCCAAGGTGGCAGCTTGTGGCACCTGTTCTCAAGCGGGATACGTTTATTAGTGTCGTAGCTACCATTTGGTGCAAGAGTTAGAGTGGAACTCGGCGGAACTCAAATTATAACTCAATAAGAAAATACGATAACACCTAACCTCTAAATCTGAACATTTGATTATGATTTATTCCTATTCTCAAGTCTTTGACATGATTAATAAGACTTAAAATGTTGCCCAACTTTTAAATAACAAGAAATGTCACTTCCACACGGTAAAAATAGTTTCTTGTATTCCAAGACCTAGTCTTGGATGCCATTGGCGTTCCCCATAAGATCCAAGACCGGGTCTTGAAATACAAGAAACTTTTTTTACCGTGCAGTCCTTCTAGACCGTGTTTTTCTCAATTTAGAATCATTTTACCAAAGCCACTGACGGAGCGAGTGAGGCGGAGGCAAGCGCAAGGGTCGGTTTAAACACATCCTAGCCAAAACACAAGCGATCAAAGTGCAGTGAAAGTGAAGGGAAATTGTGACTTTAGGTGTCATCTACCGATATCAAACATAAAAATCCGTTGATTCTAAAGATTAGATTTTTGACTTTTGTCGCAATTTTGAGGCCAAATCTCCCACTGTGAGTCGGAGAAACTTGAGCATTTTTCTCCAGTATCAAATTATTAAAGTCAGGCTGCAAACTATTTCGAGCCATGACTCTTAGTTGTGCTGTGAGATGCTCGTCAGTCAGGCGAGACCTGAACCTGTTTTTAACTATTTTCATTAAAGAAAAGAACTCTTCACACACATATGTCGAACCGAATAAGGCCAACATTTTTCTGTACAGCCCCTTCAGTTGAGGGAACCTTTCCGCCGATAATAAAGTACAAAACTCTACTAGCTTCATTGTTGGAAATCGAGATTCGAGCACTTTGTCACAACGCAGATCAATCACTTCGTTTTGAAGAGGTAAAGGTACTTTAGGAAGGGGCATTGTGAAGGGTACTGTCATGAGGGAAATCTCAGTTTGCATTTTACGCACATCTTTAAAATTATCTGCAAATTCAATTCTTAATTTTTTTACAATGTTTGCAAACTTGATGAGATCTAACTCAGAACTAGACAAAGATTTTAGAGACTCAAAATGAAACAATTCCCCTTTCCTTAATTGCTCCTCGAACAAAGTGAGGCGCATTTCAAATCCCTGCACAGCTTGAAGCATGTCTGAGATGACATGACCCTTCCCTTGCAGTTTTAGGTTGAGATTATTTAGATGCCCCGTTACATCAACTAAAAATGCCAACTCGGCGACCCACTTTGGTTTGTCCAATTCGGGAATAGGATGATTTTTCTCCTTTAAAAATATTTTTATGGTGTCCCGCAAATCGAAAAACACCTTCAAAACCTTTGCTCTGCTGAGCCAGCGGACCTTGGTATAGTAGGGAATGTCCTCATACTCGCTCCCAACTTCCTCTAGTAGAGCGCGAAATTGCCGGTGATTGAGACCCTATGCGCGAATTTTGTTCACCGCCTTCACAACGACGTTCATCACCTCGTCTGCAGGCAACGATTTTGCGCACAAGGCCTCCTGGTGGATGATGCAGTGCACATGGGGGAAGTCTGAGGGAAGTCCAAGGCTTTTCAGGTGCACCCGCAGACGCGCCACTAAACCATCCTTTTTGTCCCCACTCACGGACGGACAGCCGTCGGTGGCCAGCCCCACGAACTTGTCCCACTCAAGGCGATACTTTTGGACCACAGCTACAAGAGCGTTGAAGATATCGAGTCCTTTAGTAGTCTCGCGAAGGGGGACCAGGTCGAGCAGCCCCTCCAGGATGTTCATCTCCTCGTCGATGCCGCGCACAAATATTGCCAGCTGCGCCGTATCGGTTAAATCCGTACTCTCATCCAAAGCAAGCGTAAAGTGCGAAAATGTTGCACCCTTGCGCCGCAGCTGGCTGGCGAGATCCCTCGCGATGTCATCGGCCCTGTCCGCGATGGTGTTCGGCGACAGGCTGATGGTCTCGAAGTGCGCGACGGCATCGGGAGCGACAATACTCGCCGCAGTTTTGAGGCACTCCTTGATGAAGGGGCCATCAGTAAAGGGCTTTCCCCGCCTCAACAACATATCGCTCAGAACAAAGCTCGCGTGCAACGCAGTACCGCTTCTCTGAAAAGTAAACACGCCGTTAATTACTCGGAACTAATCAATAAATAGATCTTTTTAAACTTTGGTGGGCGTCCGACGCGTCCGACACATGGCGCGGCGCACGGGAAGGGGGGGGGGGGAGGGCTGTTGGGCCCTCCCGGCCCCGCTAACGCCACCTCTACCCGCGTGACCCAGTGCCATGCACCCGCGGCGGGACTCGAACCCTCAACCAGGTAAAACATTCGGAAAAATGTGCCATTAAATTAACTTACAGTCATGAGACGGTTCGGAGCAGATGTTGTTTTGGCATTACTGGACGCCCGAGCCTCCTTTAGTTCCTCCAGTTTCGCGACACGCTGTGGGGCACTCAAGTTCTTGAATTGTTCAGAATGAGTTGAGTAGTGTCGCTTCAGGTTGAACTCTTTCCGAACAGCGATGACAGTATTGCAAACAAGACAGGTTAGCTTCTCGTCAACGACCACGAAAAAGTACTCGTACTCCCAACGCTGCTGGAATGAGCGATTTTCGCTATCTATTTTGCGCTTTTTCCCAGGCGGTGCCCCGCCGGGTGTTGATGACCCTCCTTGTTTTGATAGGGACATGACTCAACGGCGCACGAAACCAGAATGACATCTCGCCTGCCGCCCGCCCCCTTCCTCGCTAGCCTACGCTCAGCTGATCCGCTCGCCTCAGGTGTCGTCTGCAACGCGTTGACAGACATCGCACGTGTCCCTTCGATGCGTCGATTCGGACGCATGCTCACCGCTCAGTACTCAAATTTGCCGCCCGTGGCGCCCGAAGTGAGTCCGAGCGGCTCCGGCTCGCTCCGGGCCGGCCCGGTGGGTGCCGACCCGGCCCGCCTATCTTTCCCATTGCGGCCCGCTGGGGGCCGCAAGGCTCCGAGCGTCGGGCCGCTCTGGCCCGCGGGCCGCGCGTCTGAGACCCCTGTTCTATGATCTTATAATTTCTTATAATCTTTTGTATAGTCAGTGACATTTCTGTATAAAGTAACTTCACTAAGTCAAAATATATCACTAGTAAATGAAGAAAGAGAACTATCTGGGGAGCTGGGAGCGATGCTGTGGACAAGTCTGACCGAGTGTATGAGATTAGTTCTTTCCCTAATCCACCAAAAGTTTCGAATCTGGTAACCGATTTTGGGTTTTGACTCGAAAATAAAGGGTATTCATGAAGTATGATCCAAATCTTAACTCTGAGTCCCAAACTGTTTAATACATACCCAAAATTTTGAGGCAAAAACTGCGTATTTGAGTGGGGGTATAGGTAATACTCTATGCATCTTTGCAATAAAAACAAAACTGACTACCACTGTAAAGAGAACTGAAAACTGATTCAAAACCAAGCTAAAGATTGGATTTTTGTTTCCTACCCTTCGATCAAATATATCAAAAGATTTTAGCAGAATATCGTAACTCTCATAACAAAAATAGAAAGTGTTTAATTGTCACCAAACTTGGTTTGCAACCTCCCCTAAGGTCCCTTAACATTCTCTAATTTTGAAGAAAGAAAATATTCAAAT